TTTTTTGTTCCAGATGTTTTTCTAGTTCCTGTTCCTTTTTTTTTCTTGTTTGTTGAGTATGATATTATTTCTCCTCTAATTACTGCCTTACCGGTTTCCCATAGTACTGAAGATGAAATTTCGGTGGAGTCGTTCGATTCCAAGAAGGATGCCCTCTCTCTCTGTATAAAAGCAGTGAAATCAGAGTCTTTGAGTAATGAGGTGTTAAAGCGTCAGTGGGGAGAGTATTTTACAGCTGATTAAATGTTTATGCATAGGGATACTGGAGCGTGGTCACTAATTATGATTGAATGTATGATGGTCTTGGATACCTTACTTAAAAGTGTATTCCTGACCAGAAAGAAATCTAAACAAGAGAATGATTGATGTGGTGGAGAAAAATGAGTATATTCTCTTAACGATGGGGTTGCTCAACCTCCAACTGTCGCCAAGACCAAAATCTGTCATGTATTGTTTTAATAGTTCAGTAGAGTGCCAGGATCTTAAATCATCTGCGGTACTTGATCGGTCGATTGTGGGGTTAATTACTGTATTGACATCGCCACCGATTATGATATCTGTAGATTCTTGTAATGTCGAGAAAAATGTGTTGAAGAAGGATGGATTGTCGGAATTGGGACCATATAGGTTGGCTGATCTAGCAGCTGGGCGCCGCCATGTGTAATCCAAATCTCATCTCAGCGGTCTCGCAAGCTCAGCACATCTCACCTCCCCTGGGGAATCTGTGACTTTTAATGTGACTGCATTTTAGTTTCGCACACCAATGATCTGGTCTACACCTACTTAATGAAAGTTGTTGGACTCACTGACTCCCAAAATACCTTAGTAACTATGTGAGGTGTAACAATAAAAAAGTAAAAATGTAACAAAAAATCCCCAAGCATTGCTCTCTGGTTGTTTCAGTAGAACACAACAGACTATGCTATGCAGGCTAGGCCTTTAGCATGTGAAGGACTTGAATGCAACTCTCCCAACCTCCACACTAAGTAAATTCAGTATGCAGAACAGGAAGCTGAAGTTTCACAGTTCTTATTTAGTTCTTATGTTATTGTCTCCTTCCTCTGGCCAGTTGTAAGTAGTTTCCCAGTCTCTGTTGTAGCTTTGTGGTGACTCACAATTTCTCCCGTTGTGTGTTGCATAGTACAGACGGAGACAGGTTAACCTGCACTTGACACACGTGTGCACGTTTTGATTGACATCCAACACGGCCCTGAGATGACAGCTATCCCTGCTTTCTTTTCTTTTTTAACATAATGTTCTATTTCATTTTTGAGAACAGAGTGAAAAACAAAACACTCATGACAACAAGGATATAAATGAACAGATGACAAACCCTAAGGGATGGAAAGAACACGCCCACATTACATGGGAAGACATTATACAAAGATTTCAGAGCTTGGACACGTTACACAGATTAGGGACGATTCAAAGCAGTAAGACACCACGTGGAGAACATTACATATTTACAGAGGCACTGGTGGGACAGCAGGTCACAATGCAGCATCCACTACGTACTATTTCCACTGTGCAGTCTGGGAGGTGATTTAAAAGAGGCACACAGCTTATCAAAAACAATCTCAGTCCCCTTCAAGACTGAGCTCAAGCACACCGACGGTAAAACTTTAATTATTTCTCCTTACCGTTGGTTAAGCCGTCCAGCGGTATAAACGTGTATAAAAACCACAAAAGCATCTGTCCTGCAGTGGTAGGCAGAACAAATCAAACTGTGGGAATCCAGTCTCAATATGAGGGACAATCTGTGAGAAACACTGTATATCTGTTAGGCTCTAAATGCTCCCAATAACCAGTGAAGGCTGCTCGGGTTTAAGTTGTGTCTCTAAGAGAGAGAGTAAATGTGTTGCACATGTTGCCTGCCAATAAATAAACAGTTGTCAATTCTTGATACTTCCTTATCTCTTATATTTAAGAATAGTTTAATAAATAAGGCTACACAATAAACAGAAGGCTTCAAGTAGACCCAGTGATTGGTATCATCCATGCACATTTACTTTGATGCAGCAACTTCACTCCAGAACCCTGAGTGAAAAATATGTCTGATATTGAACACAATCTGATCCAAGGGAGTTAAAAAAAGATCCTATCAGAAGATGAGATTAATAGACATATTAATAAAAGTAGAGGGACCTGGCCACTTTGCCAAAAGTCACCACAGCATAGCACGTCTTCTTCAGGGTATCATGTCTACATTTACGGCCTTTCTTCACCTCTCACTGACCAGAGCTGGAGACAATGTCCGGGTGCTGCTCTCTCGCCTCCCTCTGTGCAGTGTGTCAACTGAGTCTGCCTCCATCATTCCATGTGAGTGCTGTGTGGGCCCTGGCACCAGGTCCTGCCTGTCTGCTCCTCACTGCAGAGCAGCTGATGAGACAGATGGACTGTTGAATTAGAAATCTATTTCTGTGGTATAATGCTTGTAAAAGTAAGAGGCAACAAGTGCAGAGAGGCTAAATGTGAGTGACGGCGTGTCGCCGTGGGTAGCAGCACTGGTGTCTCAGCTAGTTTAGTTTGCGACGTCCCAGCTCGGACTTCATCTAGAGACGTCAGTTGCATGTCAGTCCCCTCGCTCTCGGTCTGTCTTTACTGTGAATTAAGAAATGTCAGTAAAGTCATCTTTTCCTTCCTGCTGCATTGTAAGCTTTGCAGGTGATTGTTGCAGTTCAGATTAGTCAATACTAGTTTTCCTCACAGACTCTGAAGCCTCTGATGTTCTTGCTTTGAGCTATGTGTGTGTGCACATGACGGCTGCCTCGTGTATAGGGTTAGGGTTCAGGCGGTTGGGTGTTTACGTCCACAAAAATGAAAGGTACCCTGTGGAGTTTTCTTGAAAAGAAGCAAGTGTTTTTTACATTCACTGTTCACCAGAATACATTGAGGTTCAACAAACATAGGAATGCATTTTCTTTTCACTTTCCAATGCCTTTATTCGTGCATCGCTGCATATCTTATCACATTGCCACGCCCGGTAGGTCAGTGAATAGTGTGAAACCGTTGGCAGGGGTGTGTGTAGGCGTCACATGTGTGCATGAGACAAACAAACGCGGGACCTACTCATATTAAAGCTGCTCTGGGGTATCCTGGGAGCTGGCATCCCATGTACCTGTAGTATTGACTCAACATTGTTTAGCTTTAGTCTTGTTGCAGAATTAGACGCCCTTAATTACAACAAAGTGACGGTAACAAAATAAGAACGAAAAATGCGTGTATATTTTTTGTTCCAGTGCTTTGTGTAAAGACATTTTAACTCTTTTCCTGAGTCCTTACTGCAGCGGCCATGGGTTCAAACTGTGGCCCTTTGCTGCGTGTCATCCCCTCTCTCCCCCCCCCTTTCCTGTGACTATCAATTAAAGGCAACAAGAGCCCCCCCAGAAACTGCTCAATAACACTACCAGACGTCAAAAACTCCACAGGGATTAGGGATCTGCATCTCCATCACAGAGACCGACACAAAATGCATCTCAGTTGCCGATACGATGTGATACAATACACCCCTATTAGGTGTATAGGCCCTCTACTAATAATCATATATAAATAAATCATATTTTCCCTGGGGATCCTGGATAGCTGCCCGGGGTTTCGGGTCAGACCTGTGGCCCTTTGCTGCGTGTCATCTCCCCCTCTCTCAGCCTTTCTTGTCCATTGAAAAAAGGCAAAATAAAAAGCCCCCCTGCATTGTGCAAAATCTAAAGTACTCAAGGAAGATATTCCCATGTCGGACAGGGATTATTCTACTGTGACCTGCTCCTTGTGTATATTCTTTCTGATTCTCCAGGTACAGACAGACAGCTATGTGAACAATGCAGCTCACCTTGCAGCTGCTCGTCTGTGCATAAGAAATGGAGAAAAAAGCAAGCGAGCATGTCATGAGTCTAATTAAGGAAGCCTGTCGTCATATTGGTAAAAAAAATGAATGAAAAACTTTCACTTAAGGTTTCTCACTGAGTTCACTGCTTGCTGTCTGCTTCTACTTCAGCTGACAGAGCCTGCACTGACACCTGGTGGTAATCTCAAATAACATGACATGAACCAGTCTGGATAAAGCTGATCAAATCCTTTAGTATCTTCCAGTGATTTTTAATGATAGTTTTTAATGGCTGTACATTATTTTACATTCCATAATCTTTCATCTGGCGCTGGGAGGTCTTAATGTCTGAAGCATCAGACCAGAGATAAAATGAACAATATTACCATCAATGGTGCTGCCTGAATAACTATAGAGAATAGTAATATTGGTAATATTATGCTTTCTGTTTCCTGCTCCTGACTCATTATCTGTCTAATAACCCTCTCCTGCTCTCTAACATATATAGATTATTATATGTTAATGCATGCAAACAGATTACTGCTTTTCACAAAGCTTCCAAAAATAGGTCTTTCTCCTTTTAATATTGAACCCATGCAGTTTGTGTAAACAGTGATTGTCTCAGACATTGGGTATATAGAGAACATGAAGAGTAGTCTTTCTTCACTGACTCATTCTTGCTGCTACTGCCGCTCTCTTTTTCTTTCCCTTGAAACAATATCTGACCGCAGAAGCCCGTTCCATTGACGCAGGCATCTCTATTCAGACCGAAGTGGCCTGTGCCCCCATTACAGGTACCGGAGCAGGCCGACTAGCCCGTATCATCAGGGTGATATCATCTTAATGGGACAAGAGGCCTGCTGGCTATAACCTCCTGCTCCCTTTTTGTTGTGTTGATGTGAGCTCATAGTATTTTTGCCTGTGGATCAGTGGGTGATTTGATGCTTTGTGAGTTTTTAATGCAGTGTTGTCATTTTATCTGCTTCCTGTCCCTCTACTGTATGTATCCTGAGCTTTTTTGTATTTGGATCATTGTGAAGTTTTACACTATTTCCACAGTATTTCTTTACGTTGCTCCTTACAATTAAACAACTCTTTGTGCATCTAACAACCCCTCCACTCATGCTCTACTGTTTCCTCAATTTCTGTTCATTCTTTCCATATCTTCTCCACTCAACAGGGATGAATGGGAAAAGCATCCTGTCTGCAATGGGCCGGCACACGCCGGAGCACTCCGGTGTGATGAGCACAGCAGGCTCAGGAGCCACCACCTCACCTTGTTCATCTCGCTCCTCCTCGCAGCGCTCAGGGACTGGAGCCCACACACCTGGGGGGCCCCACAGATCACCGTGCACCCAGGTCAAAACCTCAGAGAGCAGCAGCAATGCCCTGACCCCCAATGCTGGTCCTGCCAGGTCGCCAGTGTCCCCCAAACTTTCACCAGGTGAGGTTAGCTACACTGAGACAAGACTGACTGCAAGTGGTTAGTGTATGTTGGCAGATAGTGCCATAATCAGTCTGACAGTTGAATGACTGGTGGTCCTTTTGGTCCTTATTTAGCAGGTCAGTGCCAAACCTGTAGCGTGTCCTCTCAGAAGCCCAAGATTTATTAAGAGCTGAACATGTATTTACTGTACAGGTGGAATCAGACAGTTTATTATTTATTTTATTATATATAATTTATTATTAACTTTTAACAAAGTTGGGCTGAAAACAAAATTCTCATTCTTAATCTTAAGGGTTAGTTTCTTGAGCTTGAGTTCCAATTCTTGTGGCATTGCTCAGTTGTCATGGAGATGGTTTAGTTGTTAGAATTTAATGTCATAATGTTCTTTATTATTTAATAATTGCTTTATTTAAATTAACTATTATTTTATTGTTCTTATGTAATATTAACATTTCTGAATTTAGTTTACATTTTTTGCTACAAAACACAAACAAAAGACGTTTCTAGTTACCTGCATCTAAATAAAACAATATTTAAGATCAGAAATCTCTAGGCATGCTAACAAGGATAAAGGATATGAGTTAGATTAGAAAACATTTGTGACGTTGATCCTTGGGGACAAATGTACTCTCACTAAAAGTTGTTGTTTCTGCCACTGACAGGCTCATATTGTTATGAGTGTCTGACAACATTATGGAAAGGATCCCTTCAGAGATAGACCTTTTGTTTAACCAGAAACAGCCGTAATATAGCAATTACTCACCACCACACTCACAAAATTGACAACAAAAAACAACAAATCTACCTTGCATATGATGGAAACAAAATAAAACTCACCAAAACCATCTGTCAGTCCTTCCATTGTTCCAACAATCAAAATAAATCCTTATTTCGCTGACGTAGATGATGAAAACAGCAGTTTCAGACGCTCTACTCTGCTGCACAAGGAGCATATTATAGTAAATAAACCACAGAGAGACTGTGATAGTAACACAGGCAGAGGGAGTGTGATGCCATTCTCTGCTCAGGACTCCATGACTCCACTATATTGTTACATAGTGAAGAATTGTTTGCTGCTATATTCAGTGTTTAGTGAAAGAAATCTAATAACAGTTTATAGCTCCTGTTCATGAGAAACAATGCTTGTAAGGCGAGTAAAGATAGTTGGATAAGAGGTTTGTTTTGGGTGCCTTTGTGTAAAACTAGAATTTGAACACACTACAATGCTGTATTTTTTTAGACATGCCTCGTTCCATTTAGGTGCTGCTAATCCAGTTATGGCTTTTAAGATCCCTGTCACATGATGTCATATTATTTTGGTCAGCAGCCTGTGGCGTTTCCATTCTCTGTCTATACTGTAAATAGTGTTTTGTCACCCTGTTCGCCACTGCTCTGTTTTGTTTCTACCTGCTGTAGAGAGAGTTCTCTAAAGCTGTTAAACTAATACTTAAATGTGTAATTTAGTTGCCGGTGCTTTTACTCTGCTCATTCCATTAATTTCTCCAGAGGAACCACAGCACAGCAGAAAGAGTGATGGGTGCTGTGAGCAGCTTTGAACGCTTGTGTTGTACATCAACAGAGAGGAGCCACTCCGAGAAGCATTTGTCTCTGCGAAGCAGCCCGTCGCCCCAGAAAGCCTCCCCCCTGCCGTCTCCCCAGGTGGTCTTTCTCAAGGACATCGTCTGCTACCTTTCCCTGCTGGAGAGAGGGATGCCAGAGGACAAGCTGGAGTGTGAGTGACGGGGATGGGGTGTAGGCGGAGGGTCAGCTCCTCTCAGAGGGGTGCACAGTGGGAGCAGCTGTCTTATGCAATGTGTGCATGCGCTCAGGCCACTAACGCAGCTTGCCTAGCAGTGTGCCAGCTCAGGTTGACAGCAAGAGTAATAAGGCTGTTCCTTCCGTCTCTGACTGCCTCCCCAGAGACCTTAGTTACAGAGGTCACACCTCCCACACAGGGCAGGTCAGTGACTTGCTTAAGCCCTGCTGTGCCCAATTGACTTCTTTAGTGGCTAATGCTGTACTGGCGTACAGTGACAAGACTAATCTCTGCTAACTGGTCCCCATGCCGCGGTACAGAAGTAGCACGCTCCACTTCTTTAGCCCCGTGGCCATCTGGAGAGAGTCCAAGAACGAATGTTACAGCTTCAGAGAGCTACTAATAATCTGACGGTATCTGAGTCACCATGGGATCTCTGTTCTCTCGTTTCCCTCTAGTCATGTTCCGGTTGTACGACACAGACGGCAATGGGGTTCTGGACAGCTCGGTGAGTCGGCTCTCTCTTTTTTACTTTTGAACCTCCCTCTCTTTTCTTTCTCCCTCCCATCTTCATCTTTCTCTCTGTGTTTTGTCTCTGTTTGTACTTTGCATACAGCAGCTCTAAGAATAGAAACCTGAACACTCAGAGACAGCTGTTGTGTTTACATGAGGTCATTTGTAATGGATCTGCTCAGTTTGATATTAGCCATGTGCTGAAGTTATCACATAAACACACAGTCTCCTCTGTTAATATGTTATATACGCAGGGAAATACATAGTACACATACAGACTTTTTTACACTTTGTACTTCACATCAACATTAGGGTTTTATATACGAGATTCACTTGCCAATAGATCTTGCTCTAGAGCACCAGCATCTCAGACCAAAACAGTAAGCGCTATGACCAGACTCCACTGACTAAACCAGTAATTTATCCTAGCAAATAAATGTAAAACACACTTCAAACTGGCCGGAAACAAAACTAAACTCACCAAAGCTCTCTTTGTTAGTCTTTCCAACAATCACCAATGCTGGTTTAGTCAAAATAAATGCTTAATTCACTGAGTTAGATGAGAAAACCATCTAAAAAATTGGCTACTACGGCTGCCATGTAACATTGGCTGACCCTTGAAGACACATGCCCACGTCAGGGTACGTCCACTAAAAAAGGCTCTGATTGTTATTCTAAGTGTGACAACATTATGGAAAGGATTTGTACAGAGATAGACCTTTTTGTTTAACCAGCCGTATTATCGCTATTACTCACCACCAAACTCCATAGAATAATGCATTTCACCTCACATATCATCATAACACTGGAAGTTCATTCAACTAAATACAACTCACTAAAACCGCCTTTCTGCTGTTTCAACATTCACCAACTCTGGTTTGGTGGAAATAAATCCTTAATCAATGAGAAAAATAAGTTTTAGTCGCTCTACTCAGTTGTACAGGGAGGAACTTGCATGCTAATATGCAGACCGGCTTTGTAAACAAACCACAGAGAGGCTGCCACACAGGCAAAGGGATCTCTATCTCTGCTGCTCTGTAAGCCCCACCACCACCCCAGCATCCACCTGTAGGCTCTGGCTAGGGGTTAAGGTATTTACTCATCACTCCCCAATATCTCACTGTAAACATATCTGCAGGGAATGATGATGTTGGAGCCTAGACGCCAAAATCTAAATATGCTATACTGCTGTAATAAACATCACAATGTGAGTTGTCTGACTCACAGTATAACCTTTAAAGTCAGTGACTTTACCATTGGCTAAAAGCACATTATTCACGTCACAAGCAGGCACATGCCTTAAGCCTGTCATCAATGTTTGAAATGTATGAGGGGTGATGGAAGGTAGAAGGTAATGATGCCCGGTTTGTCTTTTTTTTTTTTGTAGGAGCTGGATCGCATCATCAATCAGATGGTGCATGTGGCAGAGTATCTTGAGTGGGATTCAACAGAACTGCGACCGGTGAGCAAACAGGAAGAGAAGCGTGAACAGATCCTCTCTCCTCTCCTCCCTCCTTACTCACCTTTAATGCCAGCTGAAACCTTAAGTGACAAACACAAAGTGAATTTTAGTTCCAAACCCCACAAAATAGCTTGAAATAAGCTTTCTCAGCAAAAGTGCTACACAGAAAAACAACCGGCTCGTTAGTCTATTATTTGCATTTTGCAACAAAATCTATATCAAAAACTCAAAAATTGTGAAACCGGAAACATAATTATTGCACTTTTTATACTAATAAATAAAGCATTAACTGCCACAGTTAATTTTCAATCACTGTTTCAAAATTGAGTATACATTACATCCACTATGAAAAATTATTAAAGCTAGTTATAAAATGCTTAAAGTGCATCTCTGTCTATTTTATTGTTTATTTAACAGGGACAATGCACAGTAAGTACACACAGAGTCCTACTTTGAACCACAGTATGTAGTCTGCCTGTTAATTACTACTTTACTACTTTAAGTTAATTACTTACTTTTTTGTGGATGTATACACAGAACATTCATAGTCTGTGCTTTGGTTTAAAACATAATAGTAATAATAAACTTTATTTAAACTGCACCTTTCAGAACAAAGTTACAAAGTGCTTTACATAATTGAACTAGGATTAAAACTTTTCAGCACTGAGCCAAATATGATCAGGCAATTAAAATAATCCAGAAATAAAATGGAATAAAACCCCTGACAATAAAGATAAATACTGATAATAAAACCTAGCAGACATGTTGCCAGTAAAACGGTGAGCAAGCATTAATAAAAGGCGGTTTTGAAAGTGATTTGAAGGTTATTCAGCAAGGCTCAGCTCCTCAGGCAGGGAGTCACAGGGCTGAGGGGCCTCGACTGCGTCATCTATATATACTGTGTATATATGTATAAGGAATATATCTCTGTCCCTTCAGATACTGAAGGAGATGATGGAAGAGATCGACTACGACAGAGATGGGACGGTCACGCTGGAGGAGTGGATCAGAGGAGGCCTCACCACTATCCCTTTACTGGTCCTGCTGGGCATGGATACGGTACATACTAGTTTGTGTGTGTGTGTGGGTGTGTGTGTGTAAAACTTTATGGTTTGTCTTTACACAACCATTAAACTTTTGTTCTACATGTTAGTTCAAAGCACTTGTTGGTTGTTGTGAGATCAGTTGTCAGTTGGTGTATTTTCTCTTGAAGTTGAGTTTATTTCCACGCTCTCTGGACATTAAACTGGACCACCTCTGACTACAGCTGACCACGCAGCACGAGATTAAGGACTGTTGTGTGTTATTTTCACACAAACGTGGATCCATGACAACATCGCCAACCATTCAGCTGAATGGACTAACTAAATAGGGACGCCTCATCCTCCAGTGAGACATAAGGAGGAGGGTTATGTATTTAAATCAACAGTGAATACTGTGCAAACTCTATGGTGGTCTTCAACCACAGTTCCCCAGCAGCTGGAGCTACCAGTTTCCAAGATCATAACCATGCCAACTAGAATCCATGGATGTTTACTAAGGTCCTGCTGAAAACCCAGGAGGCTGCCTTTGAATTCAGGGACAAGGCAGCCCTCAGATCTGCTAGAGCTATCCTGCCCTGTGCCATCAGGGTAGCAAAACGCACATATGTATGGAAAATCCTGCATGAACTCATGGCCATAATGTGTATGTAGCAGGGCACTACCTGTGACAGCGATGCCTCATTCCCAGAGGCACCAAATGACTTTTATATATGATTCAAAGTCATGAACGACACACCCACCAAGAAGGCTCTTCAACCTGCTGCCGTCTGAAAAAATGTACCGAAGCATCTGGGCAAGATCCTCAGCAACAGCTTGTTCCCTCAGGCTGTCAGACTCCCTAACACCCTGCTGCCCTCAAGACTACATGGACTACACGTTTGTAACTTGTTTTATATCTTGTTCCTGCACCTCCTTTTTTTTATGTGTAGTCTAAATATTTGCTTCACTCCCACTGAATGTTGCATTATCTGTCCTTTTGCACCAGGGACCAAGAGAAACTCTTTTGTTCCAATATGTACTGCATAGTATACAGATGGATGTCCTAAGTCCTGCACCTTTTTGGTCTGTGCTTATGTTAGAAAAACGCTAGCTAACTAGCTAACCAACAAAGTGGAACTGGATTTTTGAGTATGATACACAATGTTACAGAAGAGAATTACAAATGTCAATGCTCTGTGGTGGGCAAACTCTAACTGTTTCTAAATGACCTCACATATATTTTTGAATCTGTGTACAGCTGTTACTTGTTACTTATTGACTGACACTGTATATCTGTGATAAGCTGTTACTGTGGATACTGTAGTTTGAAACACTGTCTGTAACTGCTAAGCAGTGGCAAAATGACATCTTTTTTTATATCTTACATTATTACTTAAATTATTGTGTTTCTTTATTTGACAGATTATTTATGTTTTGTAAATATTTGACAGATTATTATTTTTTTAAGATCTTATAAATGATTAATTGTAATAATGTTTAAGTGAGCTACTTTTAAAAAATTAGAACTGAAAGACGAGGCTCTCCTGCTAGAAGTAAACTGTACTTTCAGTGCTTCATCCGTCCTCTGTTCTCCTCCTAGAATGTACAGGAAGACGGGCAGCATGTTTGGCGTCTGAAGCACTTCAACAAACCAGCCTACTGTAACTACTGCCACACCATGCTGCTCGGAGTGCGCAAGCAGGGCCTCTGCTGCTCCAGTGAGTCGCCGTGTCGCCTGCCTGTCCGGTGCTCTTCTGTCTCCTCAAATCCTTTTGTCTCCATTTTCCCCCCTTCTTTGACTTCCTCTCCTCTCCATCTCTGTCATCATCTCTTTGTCTGCTCCTCCGTCTTTATCTGTTTATCCACATCCGACTCAAACTTAAGTAGTGTGTTCTGCCTGAGTGCCTCGGAGTCAATGTTGTTTTTCAATTAAAGTCCTCACAGTCGCCATTAAAAAAAACATTAAGAATGTTATCACGTGTAATTTCATTACTGATTGAATTCTGCCGGGGTGCAGCTCTGGAGGCTGACGTTATTGGCAGCGCTGAATGCAAGTCCTCACTTATTGTCTGAAATGATCTGTAATGTGGTAAACCTTTTATTAAATCCCCTGCAAACCATGTTTTTAGTTGTTAAAATGAGAGGACCAATACGTGTAAGACGATATTATTCAGTATTCAAAAAGAGGAGCATGTCGGTCAGTTCTGAGGCTGGTGTGTAATGGGAAGTAAACTGCAGTCTCTGCTTGTTTTCCCACAGTATGCAAGTACACAGTGCACGAACGGTGCGTGTCCAAAGACATTGCTGCCTGCATCAGCACCTACGCCAAGTCACGTAGACACACCAACGTAAGTACAAACGCAGCGCATGAAAGGCTTCTTTCTGCACATGAAATGGCGTGCTAATGCTGCGGGGTAATGACACAGGAACACTGACCTGTCTGTTTGGCAGGTTCCCACCAGCTCATGCTCCTGTTTAACGGAGCAGCGAGAATCATGGGACGGTCTGTGAGGTCATGCACAGCCTCTTATCTACTTAATATCCTCTGTGTTTTAGCATTGACGCAGTTACGCTCTATAGAATTATTTCTCCGGCTCAGGTCACATGCTGATTACGGTCTGTGGAGCTTTGTACTGTTCTTCACTTCTGGGGTATGACCAAAACTTCCTGCCAGGCCTCCCTCACATCAGTTCGCTTTTGTTTAGTTTGTTTTTATTTATTTATCAGGCCAAAACACAGTAAACATCCCCCTGTTCCAGTGTCTCCAAATGTGAGCATTTGCTGCTTTTCAGACAACCAAGCAATCTGAAGTTGTGACATTTTTTTTAAACTAAACAATAAACCCATTAATTTGGGGTTATATCATGTCCTTTACAACACTTAAAGTACTAGCTAGTTTTTCTTACCATACTTGCTACTACTTACTACTTTAGCCATTAGTCATTAGGGGTTGCTTTTTTATTTTCCAGGAAAAAATCTATGTGAGAAACAGGTTAGGAATTTCAGATGTTCCTAATTTTTGATACAGATACATATTCTGGACTGCTACTATATATATATATGTTGCTTTTTATAGGTCCAGTATTGCCATTATACAGACCTTAAATACATTTTATTCCTGTGGGATACAATCAGTCACCCTTATGACTAATGACTAAATATAGTATGATACAGAAATGGCTGTATCTAAAAAAAACTACAGTGAGTTATATCAAATGCTTGGCATCACTGGATTCAGAACAATCTTAAATTGAAAATGTCAAATGAATGTTAAACGTTTGCATTATTTAAAGAAAATCAACTTTGTCTACCAATTAAGGCATGATAAATATGTGGAATTAAACATTTTGATTCAATGAGGCATTTCCTTAACACACTAAATATGGTAATTAATTGGTTAATTGCAACTAATAGATGCATACAATTTTTTTGGGGTGCTTTTTATTTTTTTATTTCATTCATGTGACAGCTGTAGACTGACAGTAAAGAGGAGAGAGAGAGAGCAGATGACATGTTGCAAAAGGCCACAGGTCTGAGTCAAACCCATGACTGCTGCAGCAAGGACTCAGCCTCAGTACACAGGGTGCCAGCTCTACCAGCTGAGGAACCAGAGCGCCCCACTCATAAAATAGTAATTAGCAAAATAATTTCATTTGAAACATCAACATCAAAGCAACAGCACACCCATTTTAACCAGGTCACAACATTAAAAATGAGGTAATGGAACTACAAAGTGCATACAAAGTACTGATATAGTAAAAAAAATGTAAAGTAACAAATTTATTCATAGCTTTTTGTATAGTTGTATATTGTATGGTTCTCACAAAATCCCACAGCACATTCGGCCTTGCCTCACAACACCCCGTTTGGGAACCACTGGATTCATTGAGAAAATGCTCGTCAGTGGCGGCCCTAAAGCCGACGTTCTCTAATCCCATAAGTGGATCACAGCGTGTGTTTTTACTTATCCAACAAAGAGAAAACTGTTTTTACTGCTGTTGAAGCTCCACAGTCATCTGTGTGTTGTATGCAGCAAAGCTTGAAGTGAAAAGAAGGATTATTTGCTTTTTATCCAGCAAAGCAACCAAGTGTCTCAGCTGTCATTATTATCCTGGTATTATTTTTAGCTCCATTAATGTATTCTTTATCTCTAGGTCAACAGTGGAGTCCCAGGTTTTATTCATCAAAACTACCTTTGTTTCAGCAGCATTTCATTTTTAATTAAAACCATTATTGCACGTTATTGTTGTAGGTATATTATTATATAGTTTGCAGAAAACATTAAAACGTTCAACACCCTAAATTATGTTTAAATCTTTGCTTGATAACTAATTAAAAATTAAAAAAATAACACTGAATACTGACCTTCTGTTCTCTCTCTCTCTCTGCAGGCTATGCAGCATGTATGGATGGAGGGTAACTCTCCTACCAAGTGTGACCGCTGTCACAGAAGCATCAAGTGTTACCAGGGCCTAACGGGCCTCCACTGTGTCTGGTGTCAGATCACTGTGAGTTGCTGCCTTAATGTAGACACAGATTACTCTTAGCAGGTAACAGTGGCCATATTCCAGACTGTACTGACCAATAGAAAAGCACTGTAGGTACACAGTAGTATCAGTGGATTCATTGAGTTGTTGAATATGGCCATTACCTGTATATTCTGAGTCTGTCTGTCTCACTCATACAAACACAGGCACGGTTGCCAGTTTATTAGGTCCACCTAGCTAAAACTAATGACGTCTAATACAACAGTCTTGCTATAAATCCTTCAGTCATCTATGCTATAATGTTCTTTTCCTTTAACCGTTTTAGAGAGGTGTTGATTCAACTGTACACTACAACAACAGCCAAACAGAACAATGGCCAGCCATCAGGGAGAAGAAAACACTTAATTTGTCCAAGAGGAATCTTATTAGGTATTAATGACTGGTAAAAATAAAAAAATACATAATACAGACAGATAATTATAAATATGTATAAAATTCCCTTAAAAAATAAGGAAAACTGGAAATAATCTGCTGATTTTACACCAGCTTCATGCAGTTATTGTGTTCACTGTTCATTGCACAATTTATCAGTTGTTCTCTACTGTTATTGTTGAATATAATATAATGATAATGAAATATCTATAAAATACACGGCACGGTGAAGACGTGAACACAAGCTGTATTCACAGAGCCTTCACTCTCTGATGAACAGCCTCGTCCTGCATTAGAAAAGTGAAAACAACCAAAGAGCTAATAGAACAATGTTCTGTTGTTGTCAAGTTGTTCTCTACTGTTATTGTTCTGCATTGAATATAATATGAAATATCCATAAACTATGCCACTTACTCAATGAAAGAAAAGGGCTCCCTTAAGGAAAAAGGTTGGGAACCACTGGTCTAATGTAATACAATTCAACAGCACAAACTGCAGCCTCCAAGATGACCATACAGTCGACTCAACACCTCTCTGTCAAAGAAAAGCTGAACGTTATAACCTTCATGAAGGGAGGCAGGACTGTTGTATTGACCTGCATTAGTTTTAGCTAGGTGTACCTAAAGTTTACCTTCATTCCCTAGAGACTTACCTTAACCACAACCATTATAAGCCAAACCCCAACCCTTACCTAAACTTTAAACACACCTCGACCCTAAAATCGAATGCCTTTTGTCCCCAAATATAAGGCTAATCCCTACAATGTACTGTGTCCCCATAATGTGACTAATACAAGTAGGCACACGCCTATATACATTTTACTTGCGATTGCTTTTTAAATCCACTAGATGTCACCGCTGACCTGCTCAACATTAACCCTGCTGTCAAACCACTCCGGTTCTCAGAGCAGTTCTCATTACAGCGAGAAGAATATTCTGCACGCAAATACAAATGAATACGTTTTTGATTTAAACTGTATGGCCGGGTCAAACAGTCACTGTATACTGTCAGGATAAACAGCCTCCCTAGTGTGGCGTTTCATACAGTGGTAACATTTGATACACTCAGTGCCACAGATGGATTACGCCCACAGTTCTTATGTTTCTGCCTCTCCTCTCCTCTTCTCTCCTTTCGTAGCTCCATAATAAGTGTGCATCTAATGTGAAGCCAGAGTGCGATGGAGGAGCCTTGAGGGACCACACTCTGTTGCCCTCGTACATCTGCCCCGTTGTGTTGGTGAGAAGGCTTTTCTCTGCTGTCCATGCACAAGGCTGCGCATATGCTGTATATTGAAGCTATGTTAGCTTCCACAGATAAAGTAGTTTGTTTTCAGTATTTTATCATTCACACAGAAAAAAGAATCCCCTTCAGAATCTGTGAGCAGAATGAATGTACACTCTCTAGGCTCAGAATGTTGTTTAAAAAGTTAAGATTTTCCTTGTTGACAGAAACCAGAGAGAGCGGCCAGTTTGAATTTCTCCACTGAGCAATATTTTTAGTCATGGCTTTCTGTGGAACAATGGCTGCTACTTACAAGCGTCTGTGGCTTTGAGAAAGCGGGTCGTCTGCTAATCAGAAGGTTGGCAGTTTGATCCCCGGCTCCTCCAGCTGCATGACGAAGTGTCCTTGAGCAAGATACTGAACCCCAAATTGCCCAATTGTGAATGGGTGAATGTGGCATGTAGTGTAAAGGGCTTTGAGTGGTTGGAGAGACTACAAAGGTGCTATAAAAGTACAGTCCATTTACTTATTTATAGTTTATTTAATAGGGACAGATACAGGAAACATAGACAGACTTAAAACAGCTATATGTTGCAGTATCATAGTGTTTATAGTGGATGCTAATTCACAACATCTGTCCCTCAAAGGGCGTTTGACAGGAAGGTTAAAAAAATAAACAGTAAACGGAATACAAAAGAGTCGTAAAACACAGAATTAAAGATGTCACATATGAAAACTATACATGAGTACAGGTTTGTTGTTGATTTGGTAGCTCTTAGCTGCATTCAGTCTGTAGGCCAAAGTGACCCAAATCAGATTATTATGCTTATATGACAGTGTGAACAGCACAAATCACATGGTATCTGATCTTCTAAATTCTGATTCAGGCCACTTTCATATCAGATACAGGTCTGATGTTCTGTATTGTGGCCTCAGTGTGAACAGTCATATCAGACTGCATGTGAATTTTGCCATTCTAAATTGATAGTAGACATGTGGGTCACTTCAGGAACATAACCTGTTCACAATCAGCAATAATGGTGCATTATTTGTTTTTGTCCAAGATTTTCAAGGCCCGATTGTAAAGACACGCTATGGATTTAACTGCAGACTGGTTGGCCTGGGACCAGGCAGTTAAACCATAAGACATACGTGAGAAAATCATTGATTTCTGTATGGCGGTGTATGTGGAGGCAGGATTTTCTTGTACAGAAGTGTCACCCCAAATACTTCATCAAATCCACGGAATACCTCCATCGCAGCTGAGTGACTGAGTGAATGTCAATCCAA